TTTCATGGCACCAGAGTTGTGTAATCTGCATTTTTTCCAGGTCAAGCAGTACCAGCTCCAGCCGGAGCCCCACCAGCAGGCCAGCCAGATTATAGTGCAGCGTGGGCTGAGTATTATAGACAGCAGGCAGCCTATTATGCCCAGACAAGTCCACAAGGAATGCCACAGCATCCTCCAGCACCACAGGTATGATCATCGTTAATTATTTGGCTGAGGTTTTTTCCCCCTCCTTCTTCTTTGTGGGTTTTTTGCTTTTTGCTTTTTTGCATGTCTCCCACTTTGATATCTTTCTGGAGTGTGCATTATTTTTCCTGGTAAAGGATAATTAGTAAATGAATGCTCTGATAACTGGAGATCTTTGTCTTTCTTTGCATAAATTCAGTGTTTTTGATCTAAAAATTTCTCCTCCCAGGATTTTTCAAAGCCATGCAGGAAGCCACCACCATTACATTAACCAATTTTTCTTTCTTAAAGGCTTCACTCCTGAGTTAGAGCAATTTTAAAAAGATTTTCTTTAACTTTTTGTGTATCTTTTATGTATTTCTTCGCACAGGGCCAATAATAAGAAGTGGACAAAACAGTATTTGCTTCATTATGTGGGGGAAAAAAACGTTTGTTAAATGTATGGATGCAGACGCCTTGATGAAGATCATAATTTTGTTTGGTTTAATAGTGTTTTTGAAAATGTACAAAATATCTATCACTTCTGATAGGAGGTAATATTTCTGTGTAGAAATGGAAATTGGTTTGTTTTTAGTACATTAGTGTAGATGTACACATTCCAGCAAATGTATTTGCAATTATTATGTGGTCAATGCTTTGTGATATAAATGTACTTTTTCAATGTATACTTGATCACTTTTAAATGCCTGTTTTGTGCTTTACAATAAATAATATGAAACCTCCTGTGTCGGTAAGTTGGATATGTGGGTACTCAGAAAATTCAGAATTTTGTTAGTAATGCTGTACATGTACACGAATAAGATTTTTTTCCCCCACTGGAAATTTGAGCTTGACATTGGTATTCTCCCCTTCCAGAATAGTTACATAAGGATCTCTTTCCGTGATTGTGTATTCTGTTTAGCATCTTGCTCTTCTCTTTCTACTTGATTGAAAACTGCATGTATGTGAAGGTGTTTCTTGACATACTTCTACTACGTCCTGAGTTGCAATTTCTTTTTTTGTTTTGTTTTGTTTTTGTTTATGACCACTGTCTCAGACCCATGTAGCTGCTATAGTTGACATTTGTTTTTATACTTGATTTAATTCTTTAGCATATTTTTCAGGCATGTTACTAAAATCATTCACTGTAGAAGGCAGAATGTGCTGAGCAGTTTTGCAGCACTTTTCTTCAGAGTTTAGTGTAGTAAGGATGATATGCTTTTCAGTTACCAAAATTGCATTTGTTTTAGAGAAACATGCTTTTGGAGTCTGGGAGTGCTTAACAGAAGGATGTTTTGCAGATGAGGTCTGTTATTAAATGCTGAAGACTAGCCGTTAAGTTATATCTTGAAAAATATCCGTAAATTTTTTTCTTTCAATAATTCATACTGAAAACTGATATTCTGATAAAATCCACTGTTTGCTTTTTTGCATATATTAGATTACATGCAATACAGTCTGTCTTGCCATTGTCTGTTGAAGTGCAGGTTTGATCCAGCCAGTATAGAACTAGCTGTGTAGGGGTGAGGAGGACTGTGCTGTGTATCATCCTTGATTGTTCCTTCAAGGAGCATTGCACTGTAAGTACATCAGAATGACAAAATGATGAACTGCAACAGTATCTTTTTGTCAATGTTCCACATAATCCAAATGCCATACCTGTGTGAATATTATGTTGGAATAAAATACAGTGCTGATATCTTAGAAAATCATAATTGCTTCTTAATCAGAAAACTAGATATGCATAAATATTTGTCTGTATGAGTTTTATGGGTAAGTATTCTTGAGACAATTAGCTTTAGCTAAAGAAACTGTCATTTACCTAAGTAACATTGTTCATTAGGGATTCAGAAATGAGATACATTCAGATACAAACTTGTGCATTGTTAAACTTCAAAATGCCTGTTAGGAGGAAGTTTTGTGTTGCGTTGTCCGCAATGTTTGGTGATATAGGCATATATTAATGTTATAAACCTTTATTAGCCTTATATTTGGAACACCATTTTGTTGTTTTGGCATATGCACTTAGGGTGACTACAAGAAACAAAATGAGGTGTAAAATGAAATAGTTTTACTACACAGATAATTAGAAATGCATTTTGTTGTACTGTAGAATCAGGAGGGAATTATTTTTATCCCAGTTTAGGTTAGGATTTAAATTTTGGAGGAAAAATATTCTAGGAAGTTGTTAAATATATGTAGAGTAGGCTTTGAAAACTCTAAAGCAATTATTTTGCATGATTAGCCTGTAGCTTATTGGAGAATGGTGTAGTTACTAACTAAACAGAACAAAAATTCACCAGATTCTTTATCATTCACCAAATGGAGGCTGTTGATTTTGATTCATTTAAAGTATAAAATCTTTATTAATTGCAAACAGTGCAATTATTTATACTTCACAGTGCCTTCCCAGACCTTCCACCTTAGGTTCTGCTGCAAAAAGCACAGGTAAGCACAACCTAAGGAAGTGTATAAATACATATTTCAGTATATTAATGTTGTCCCTGTGAGATTTTTTTGTGCTTGTGTATTCAAAAGCAATCTGCCAATATCTTTCCCCAAATGTATTCTGCTATTCATGGTTTCATTCTAGTGGAAAGTCTGAAACAATATTTACATTTCTGGGTAAATGTGTATCTTTATTTTTAAAAGATTAGTGGATTGCTGCAATAATTTTTGAGTAAGTCACTTTTACTATTTTTCCCTCAGTAGCTGAGTTGTTACAAATGCATAAAAAATATTTTTTCAAGATACAGGAAATTGGTCAGAACTTCAACAGCCTTCAAAAATGCTCTTGCAATGTTAAAGGATGTTATACCCAGTACTACTTATTCAAGCATACTATGTGTTTCTCTTAATCCCAAAATGAATTTAAGTTGTACACCATAAAACAGAAATTAATCAGCTTGCTTATGTCATACAGGGGGAAATTAGACTTGAATTTTGGAGAATAGTTTTAGAAAGCATGTGTGCCAGTGAAATGTTAACAGTTTGGCAGATCTTCATTTTTTATAGCAATCTCCTTCCTACCTTGCTATTTCAGCCAAACTGCTGTATATTTTTGCTAGCTTAAATGTTTTGTTTATGGCTTATCTAGATCAAGTAACTGGTAAAATTCTTCAGTTTAAATAGACAATATTAAGGCACTACCATCAGCTTCTTTTTTTTGTTTGTTTTTTTGTTTTATCACTTAAATGTTTCGGTTTCTATCAAGTCCTGCTTTTCTCTTCAAGAAAGTAAAATATTCAAAAACCCTGCCTTCATTTTCACACACAGTGCTGAAGATGCTGCAAGCACCAAATCATAGCTCATAAAATCAGGTCCTGAGATAGTTACTTCCAATAAAGAGGATTCCTTTGAGTGTATGGCCATGGTGAGCCGATGAGCATGGACCATAGAAGGGCTCCATGTAGAAGGTAAAATTGGCAAAGCAATACCGATTTTAAATGTATCCCATACTTAATGGTGTAGGGTATAATTTGCCTGTTTTAATCGCTTCTCGTTCTTTAAAGTGCTATTTGCTTGACCATAAATGTTCCATACTTTGTTATGTGGTAATAATATAAGCCATCTATCAGTTTGCACTATGCTAAATAGTCAAGCATAGATATGTTTTGCATTTCACAACCAAATTAATAGTTGTACTTGAATTCCCTCAAGCCACTTCATTTTTTGTTGTAGTTTGACATGTCAGATTTCATTTTTATATAAGAACTAGGTATGTGCTGAAGAAATTCATCTTGGTTGGATTGTTTCATCATTTTAAAATAAAGGTTATTTTTGCTACAGCTTTAATAAATGTAGCGTAAATTGAAATTAACTTCAAAGACAGGATGAAATAGAAAAAATGTTGGCATAGGACATGCCGGATGATCTGATATAATAATCTTTATATTTTATTTTAAGTTTGCTGGTAGACTTACAGGTGTCGTCTTGGGCTTAGTTTAGTTCTGTTGTTCAGTCTGTCTGATTTCTCCCAGAAATACTGGGATGGATTGAGATGTTTTTTTTACACTCATTGAGCAGGATATTGGGATTCACTTCATAGATTGTTAGTTTTCCTAAAGCATTTCAGAACAGGAAAAATATGTAAAATTGCAACAGAAAATGCTAGGCAAAAGTCAAAGTAATGAATGTTTTAACATAACATTTTATTTCGACTGATGGTAATGTTTACAGATCACCCTATTGTTTGTAGAATATGTTTTGCTAGGTAAAAGAGCAGTTTCTATCTAGATTGTGTGAATTACACTTCAGTAATCTTAGTTACTAGGCAGACTAATTCTTCTGAAAAATATTGTCAGCTGCTAGGAAACGTTTCTTTTGATATACTAGGGAATAGAAATATTTGATTTTCTTTATATAGTAGAGGTTCATAAAGCAGAACATTGGGCTCAACAGAATTTGTACTGTAGAATCACCATTCCTTCTGGTAGCTTCTTGTAAAAACGCTTGTGTTTATGCAACCTTTGTTATATGCATGCAAGATGCATTTTCGTCCTGAGATAGTGTTCTCTACAGAAACTACCCGTGTTAAAAAAAGAAGACTGTCTTTTAAAGGCTACTGTGATGGGAAGTATCTTAGGGAGATGCAGCTTGGACGCGAGGTAAATCAAATGCTTTAAAGTATGTTGTGTTGAGCTTGCAATATTGACATTGTATGTACTCATTAATACTCATTAATTGTAACATTTTTGTATGAGTTCTCAATAAATGTAAACTAATAGATAAAAAATTGTTTTGTCCTTTTTTGGTTTTGTGCATTTGAGTACTTGCAGCTACAACCCTGTGAAGTGTGCCTAATTACTGCCTTTGTGAAATGAAGAAACACATTCAGCTGTAGGAACTGAACATATTTATTAACCTTCCAATTAATCCAGAATACAAATAGGTGATTTCGGTACATTATCATAATCAAATAAAATCCAGTTACCTCCTGTATAAAATTTAAATCTGGATTATTCTGACCAATGAATACAGTGAGCCAAAACGTAGTAGGAGTCTACAGATTCATTCCATGATCTTCATTCTCCGTTTCCAGTGCACATTCTAGCCTGTATTTGTAGTTTAGCTGGTCATTTATCATATAGCAAAACCATACCTATCTGCTCTAGATGTATATATCAGCTTTATGTATCATTTTTGTACATATTTTAATGAGGTGTATTCATGTACCAGTTATAAAATATGAGATGTAAAGTGAAAATCCATCCACTGTCAAGCTAACACCTTCAACACAAATTATGAAAATATGGTTCAGTATTCCAAACCGAATTCTGGACATTTTCTATCTAATACAAAATAAATGTAAATTTTTATTTCAAAGACCTTGCTTGTGTGCTTTCAGGCCATTATAATCTTGATTTATTTTTATTAACATAGATTAAAAGGAAAATGTTGAATTAAAGAAAGCACTAATTAAATTAAATCACTACATTACTGTTCAGCTACTTAATAGTTTATCCAAGAACATACTTTTTGCCCACAAGTCTATGAGAACCACAGAAATGGACATCAGCTTTTATATAGAATGAACAAATTGGTCTTTGCCTTTGGGAACAACACTTAAATTTTGCTTTTCAATATGAGTTTGGCCTAATATCACATCTGAAAACAGTGAAATTAAGTTTACAGTCAGTAGCATACTACTTACATGGATTAGCCAGTTTTAATTTTCACATGTATATTTCATATTGACATGGTGAAAAACTAGTGGAACCATAGGCCAAGTTACTGTACACAACAGCTTCATTTGCCTAATAGAAAACCACTGGTACTTGAAGGTGTCATGGCCTAAACTAGCTATCATCAGGATGCTGGTTGCTTGTATACGGTGAAATATTTTATGTCCACAAACTTCTGTTGCCGATGTTCAGTATGAGACCAAGAGGGAATCAAGAAATTGTATTTTATTTGAGGAATGATAAATAACTTCTTGTTGGCCCCACCACAGGAGAGAAAAAGAGATGGATGCAGTAAATTTAGGGGAGGAAGGCTCCAGAAAAAGTAGGATATTTAATAGTCATCAGCTGAAGAAAAGAGAAGAGAAAAAGAGTTAAGAAAAGCTCACTAGAATAGAACCAAAGATTAGAAAAATTCTTATGCTAACTCTTACTTTCAATAGTGAGAATACAGGTGCTAGCTGCTGTTCCTCTACTGTTAACTGCTTTACACATATATTCTCCTTCATCTTCTGGGAAGGTTTCTGGTAAGTATAGGCAGTAGGTTTCTCCTCTTTCAATATACTGATAGTCCTCACAGTCCTGCAACATTTCCCCTTCAAACCACCATGTAACTTCTGGCTTGGGTTCTCCAGTTATTTTAACAGTAAACCTCACAGGTTCACCATCCACAACAGAAACATTTCTGAGAGGCTTCTTGAACCATGGAGCACCTGACCGTACTTGCTGTTCTTCATCTTCATAAACTGAGCCATTAACAATGCTCCCATCCTCCTCTTCCTCCTCTTCTTTTTTCTGCATTTAAAATAAAAGTTATTAAGCAATAAGTTGAAATACCAGTATATATGTGAGATAAAGTGAGTGTTCAACATATTCTGTCTCCCATTATCCTGTCGCTGTACTGGGATGAAGAAACAGGATGGGGCTCTGCAAAACAGCAGATTTGCGTCTCTTCATTACTGTAGATCAGCCAGGTGGCTGGAACTAAACATATTTTTTAAATGATTTGGTTGTTTTAATACAGTTCTCAAACCATGACTTTGTTCTCCAATTATTTCACTGAATGAATGGCGGAGGGTGGAAAACAGGCTATACTCTGAGGAAGTAGACTTGATCTGTGAAAGCTCACATTAAAATATAGAAGTTAGTCTTAAAGGTCCCACAATGTTTTTGTCGGGGAGGGGCTTTTCTGATATACTTGCGCAGGTTAACATGACTACTTATTGGAAAGGCTATTATTTGGTAAGAGTTGTCATGTTTAGTTTCTTACTCAACCAGAACTGGAGAATTGGGTTCTGCCCTTCATTCAGCCGTGAAACAGATTGTGTAGTTTTGAGCCAGTGATCTGTAAACAATGGAGCCAGCAAAAACCTTGGATGTTTCCTTTAGTGCCAGAGGGAGGGTGTAACAAAACAAGGGAGAACTCAGCCATGATGAAATTTTTCTCCACAACTATAGGAGAATCACACTGGCATCATCAGCTGTGTTTTCCCCCTATGGAAAACTGCATCTTGGACAAACCCTACCAATTATGTATGGCTTAAGTCTGGCATCTCCAAAAGGGAGCACAGAAAGGATATGTCATATACAGTGGTGCCTCGCTTAACGAGTGCACCGTACAACGAAGAATCCGTATAGCGATCCCTTTTTGGGGATCGCTATACGGAGCTGCCCCAATCGCCGCACTCGCTTTGCGACGATTGGGGCGTCCGGCGGCCATTTTGGAGCCGCGGCTCCAAAATGGCCGCTGGATGACCCGGAATGGCCCCCGTCAGTGTTTTTGTGCCCTCGCTTACCGAGGTCGCGAAAACGCTGCGGG